GTCCCGGTAACGGCTGCAAGCACCTCTGAGGGTAAGCTGCCCTCAAGATCGCCCGCTGCCAGAGAGTCCAGTTTCTCCCCGTATGAGTCCTGGGTCCCCAGAGACTTCCCGGGACCGGAGTTCAGAGCCGTTGGGAGCTTCTGACTCCCTCCGGATTCAAAAAGACAGCCGCGTCCTCAGGTGCCAGACCCTTTCCACGCGCGCGAGCCCCCTACCTCTGCGCTTCTCTTCTGCAGCGTCTCTGGCTCTCAGTGTGCTTTTCTTTCCTTCTAGTTGTAGAATATACAGTCAGCCAGGCTTCCTGTGGTTCTGAATGATGTCCGTATTGTTTTTCTGAGGTATTAATCAATTGTTGTGAGCGGCATCAATTTCCCGATGTTTATCTCTGCCGCCATCTTAGTTTCTCCAAGGCCTCAGAATTTTTATTTGACTCTAGAATTTTTCCTTCTACCCTAGGTGCTGTGGCTTTTAAGTTTCGATGATGATAAAAACACTTTGGCAGATGCCGTTGACAAGTACTGCATTGGTGTGCCACCCATCCAGTGGCTGGCCTGGATCCCGCAGCTGCTCACCTGCCTGGTGGGCTCAGAAGGAAAGCTGCTTTTGAACCTCATCAGCCAGGTCAGAATAACAAGGTGTCTTTGTTCACAAAAAAAATTGTCTTTGTTTCACTTTTTTTTTTTTTTTCGAGAAAGAAAATGTGCATGCTCAAAGCATGGGAAATAAGTCAAAGAGATGGGAACATACATACATCTAGCTATCACTTTAAATAAAACATAATTAAATGTGATTGAAGAATATATCAGGGTTCAAATGAAATAATCTGCTATAGCATTGCTGTATTAAGGTGGTAATTCCTTTGCTTGAACATGTTGCCACATAAGATGCAAATACAGTCAAACCTTGGTTCTTGAATATCTCCTAACTCAAACAGTTCAGTTCTTGACCAAGTTGTTCACAGAATAAGTGTCTTGGTTATTGAACGCAACTTCAGGTCTCGACCTGACAACCCTTTCTTGCTGATACCTCAGCATGACAAAAAGTATCTCTCAGGCCACAAGCAAAGGAGGGAATGCGAGTCACTTTACCGCTAAACATCCCAGGAAGTTATGCTACGTATATGTATATGTATGTACATGTATTGCTTTTGTTGCTAGAAATGGATGATTAGCACAATTTTAAAACATGTAGGCCATCAGAAGTGCTACTGTTGCTAAATGATCACAGGCAAGTGAAGAGGTAGAAAAACTGGTTGATTTGGATAAACGAAAAATAGTTAGCATGTGACAGCATTTCACAGGCAGTGATATGTGAAAAAGCGAAGATGCTACATGCTTACTTTATGAAACAAATTAAATTTGAGAACTAAGGCTCCACTGTGACTAACGATTCTCTTAAAATGTAAGATTACTAGTGAGTACGCTGAGAGCTGGTCACAGTGAAATGTGTGTCTGATTGCTATTTTATAACCGATTTCCTGTCTGTGCCAGGAGGTCTTCAGAGCTTCCCTTCAGAGTAAAACTCTCCCATGCATGTGGAGGTTGTTGCCCTTGGTAGAGTTGTTTGGCTGTGGCTGTTAGAGAATTAAAGTTGGGTGCACTGAGCTTTGTGACAGGGCATCGGGCAGATGGCTTTCATTACCATTATTTAAGAATGGTTCCAGAATGTTCCTGTCCTGAGAAAACATTAGGGGAAGGACCCAAACAGTAGAAACTTAAAGATACCTCAGTCTGGAATATAGTACTTTTGTGCTTCCTTTTATAAAATTACCAGAGGCCTAGTGCACGAATTCATGCACCAGTGAGGTCCCTCGGCCTAGCCTGCAGGACAGGACCAAAACTGGCTCTCCAACATCCCTCAAGGGGTCCCGGATATTGAGAGGTGCAGGCCAGGCCAAGGGAACCCACTGAAGCATGATCAGGACCAGGGAGAGACGCAGGAGGTTGGCCAGCAGGGAAGGGACCGCGAGAGGGCTCCAGGGTGTGACTGGCCCTTCTCGCTCAGTCCTGATTGGCCAGACCCTAGCAGCAAGCTAATCTACTGGTCAGAGCATCTGCCCCCTGGTGGTCAGTGCACATCATAGTGAGCAGTTGAGTGGCCTTGGCATATCATTAGCATATTATGCTTTGATTGGTTGAATGGCCGACTGGTTGACCAGACACTTAGCATATTAGCTTTTATTATATAGGATAGTCATGTAACTTTTCATGAATGAGGAGCATTGTCACCAAGCACTTAGGAACACACCACTCATAATTTTGTCAGTTTACTTGGCTTTTTACCAAGTATGTGGTGCATCATCTGTTTTTTACCCAGAAATGGTTTTATTTTTTTCTTGAGAGGAGGTAGCTGTGTTTCTGGAAACTGGCATTTTGCTTGGAGTTTATCTCTCAGGATGTAGATTCGGTCTATGTGTATTTTCATTCATAGAACATCTCTTAATGTACATTAGCCGAACCACCCCATGGCTGTTCCAGAGTGAGATAATATCTACTCAGCTCTTTGAAGGAATCCTGTAACCCCAATTTGATAAAACTGGTTTTTCTAACTGTAAAAAGAAAACTTTAAATCTCCTCCTTGCTACAGTTATGCAGAGTAAAGTTATTCACTGATAACCCTAATTGTCAGCTAGAATCATTTCACACTTCCCGTGAACTGTGCCAAATAGAAGGCTGATTGGTTGGTGTCTTTTTGTGTTTTCCTTTGGTTGCCTGAATGAGTTTCAGGGACTTACGCATTTTGCCTTCCTGAGACTTACTGAATCAAGTGAAAGTATGGTTTCTGTGTCATTAATGGTCCCCATGCAGAACTGCTGAAATGCATGCACCGTGTTGATCTTTCCTGGGTCTTTAAAGCTAAACTGGATGTTTTACCTGCTGTTGAATCTGGCCTCATCTGTTAGGTCAGTATTTGCTTCCTTGGTCCAATGTAGACCAGCCACCCGTTTACGATTTATATCAGTTATTTTGATACGAAGTGTCTTCATCCAGAAGACTAGTGAGCAGTGTTCTTCATTACTCCCTGTCTCTGAGCAGGTCGGACGCGTGTATCCCCAGGCAGTCTACTTTCCCATCCGGACCCTGTACCTGACTCTGAAAATAGAGCAGCGGGAACGCTACAAGAGTGGTATGTCTCGGGCGGGGCCAGCTGGCCAGGCTGTGGAGGGCTTGTTCCATGGGGCATTCCCATCCAGTCGGCTGTGGACACGCCTGCCCCACAGCAGACTTCCTAGCACGTGGGCCAGTCTTTAGCCAGTGAGAGAGAGAATATTTTGGGACCAGAACCAGGGCCTGATCCTCTTGAGTGAAATTTATGGTTCCTCTTTACCATAATGTAATTGGGAGTCCATTTACCTGAGTGATTTGATCCTTAAGTAGAAATCATATATGAATTTTTTAGCTATAGATAATTACAAGTAACTTACCTAATTAGTATAACTACATCCTGGTAAGCAGTATAAAAGTTACTATAAGGTTTTAAATCTATATTGAGTAGTTGCTATATATAAAGAAATAACTTATTTGATGGTTCCAGTTGCCCACTAAGCATGCTGCTTTGTAAACAATTAAAGGATCGTTTGCTTCAGAATATTTTTACTACCCAGACTTGCATGCTGCGAGACCAGAGTCTCTTTCAGCAGCATCGCCTGCCAGCGAGCTGGGTGGGTAGGAGGTTGCACAGCACACTTCTGCCCTGACCTCCTGGGCCCACCTCGGTAGATTCATGTGTTGATCATTTGAAAATTAAGATGTTTTTATTCTAAGTCAGCTGAAGCTTAGGTAAATGGGGCTTGTGGGTTTTAATAACATTTCTCATATAGCAAGTGATGATATTTTTCAAAAATACCATTTTATTTGTGGTTTGGCTTTCCCAGGTGGAGAATGTAGACTTGCTTTTTAACTACTCTTGAGCTACAGTACAAGGCATGTATTGTTAAGAGGGAGGACAATGCACACTTGTGCGGCCTCACAGATTCCCCAGCCAGCATGCTGCCGCGTTTGCTTTCTTACCAGCATGGATGCACGCTGCTGAGCCAGTTGAGGCCAGTTTGTAGACAGTCACATTCTCTGTACCGAGTCCCTCAGAGCACCTCTCCTGAGAACCAGGGCATCCTCCCACATAGTCCTGGGGAAACGTCTCGTGTGTCAGCATCGGCAGGAACCAGTGTTCCTTTGGCCGGCGGGTCCTCTAGAGCACCAAGCTCTAGCATCGGTCAGTTTTGCGCTGACATTGGCGTTGTGTGTGTTGCTCTCAGATTCTGGACAGCAGCAGCCAAGTTCAGTGGGTAACCAGTCCCATTCTGCATCAGATCCAGGGCCCATAAGAGCAACAGCACCCATGTGGCGCTGCAGCCGAATCATGCACATGCAGCGGGAACTGCACCCAACCCTTCTGTCTTCCCTGGAAGGCATCGTCGATCAGATGGTCTGGTTCCGTGAAAACTGGCACGAAGAGGTACGTGGATGTGATCTTGAATGTCATTCTACATGCTTTCGTGGCCACGTGATGGTCAGTTAGCTGCCTGGTCATGTTTGTTCTTGAGTTGAATGATAGAGTTGGCGAAGAGTTAATGTCTGCACACTAGTGTGGCCTTAACTATTTGAAGTGGGAGATTTCAGATGAGGGTGAAATTGAGAAAACCTTCTGCCCTCACAGTGCTTACTTTGCTCTTTCATATGAGCTCAGTCACTTAAATGCCATGAATTGGCAGGCAGCAGTGGCGGTGCGAGCAGGCACGGTGGTGTAGGTAACTGACCGCAGTGATCCCCGGAGGCAGAAGGTGGTTCTTCAGTGACCTTCTCAGCAGCGGGCCACCCCTCAGTGGTGTTTGTATCCTGATGATAAGATAATCAGCCTTCATTGTCCAGGTGTTTTTCTAGCTGTTATCACAGCGTCGTTTTGTGTGCACACACAGACATGCGGCAGTGACACAGCATCCGAATGAGGTTTTCCTGTGGTTAATCAACTGAGGGGGATGGACACGACTCAAAAAGTGTTTTTTGTTTTGTTTTTTAAAAATGTTCAGGACACTCCGCATTAAAAACACAGCTCACTGTGCGGAGCTCACATGATTTTACACCGACTGTGCCACAGAAATCACCCTGGAGGTGGTGGGGCAGCTGCTCAAATCAAGAGCTCGCTTTTGTGAGTGGTGTTTGGTCTCTTTCCACTAGGTTCTCAGGCAGCTCCAACAGGGCCTGGCAAAATGTTACTCTGTCGCCTTTGAGAAAAGCGGAGCGGTGTCCGATGCCAAAATCACCCCCCACACTCTGAACTTCGTCAAGAAGCTGGTGAGCACGTTCGGGGTGGGCCTGGAGAACGTCTCCAACGTCTCCACCATGTTCTCCAGCGCAGCCTCCGAGTCTCTAGCCAGGCGGGCGCAGGCCACTGCGCAGGACCCTGTCTTCCAGAAGCTGAAGGGCCAGTTCACCACCGGTGAGTCTCACTCTGTTCTTCCTGCACTGTTTCTCCTTGGGCTTTAGCATAGAAGATGATTGCATTCATTCATTTATTTGTTCATTTTTCATTAATTGTCTTGTCACTGTACTGGGCGAGCTGGTTATAATGTTTAGACTCATCACAAGAAAGCTTAAGGCTCACCAGCCTGCAACTGCATGTCCTTCTTCCTAGTGAAGGGTTGTGGTTTGGAGCCAGAGCACCAGGCTCCACCTCTGGGGTTAGAAGTAGGATGGTTTCAGGCAGACCCTTCTGCTCCTCGATCCCTCCCTCCACTCTGTCTTTGTGGGAAAACTCAACAGTGAGACTCAAAGGTGCAAGGCTCAGGGTGACAGGTAAAGTTCACACTGGTAGGCATTCTGGTGCACAGTGATAGGCAGGTTCTTCAGGTTCAGATTCATGCATTTTCCCAGACCTGTGGGAGCATGAGTTCTGGCTCCACCATGTTCTGCGTGATCTGAGGTAAATGTGCAGTCTCCCTTAGTCTGTCTCCATCTGTCAGATTGAGGCCCTCGTCCCTCAGCACGTGCAGGTATGCGTCCCCTGGATCTCAGAGCATTTGTCCCAGTCTGCTCTGCCTCCTTCCCACTCGTCTGGGATGGGCTCTCCCCCCGGGAGCACCAGTCCCAGACTTGAGCCTGAGGAACTTCTGCAGGCTTGTAAGTCCTGAGTGTCAACCCGTGAGTGATTATTACACGAAAACAAGACTTGCCTGGTAAAATTTCCCAAAGCCAAAAGAAACATTTCAGTTTAATTATTGCTTTTGTAACCATCTTTAAAGCATTCTTTCTTGTCCTGCCAGTGTTGCTCAGTGGTTAGAGTGTTGGCCGTGCACTGAAGGGTTGTGGGTTTGATTCCCAGTCAAGGGCACATACCTGGATTGAAGGTTTGATCCCTGGCCCCAGTCGGAGCATGTGCGGGAGGCAACCAATCAATGTGTCTTTCCCACATTGATGTTTTTTTTTCTCTATCCCCTCCTCCCTTCCACTCTCTCTAAAAATCAATGGAAAAAATATCCTTGGGTGAGGATTAACAAAACACAAGAAATTCTTTCTTAATTGATATGTTAAACCATAGAATAAATGGTTCACATTTTTTAGATATTTAAGTATCTTTTTAAAAGATTTATATCTCAGAGAGCATAGTTAAAGCATGTATATCTGTAAAGTAGGTTGCAGCGATAGATATAAAAGGAACCATTTGCCCCACTAATTGCAAAGGACACTGTGCAGCTGTAGCAGGACTGACCTGAGGCCCCTGGGAAGCCCAGCGTGTGTCCCATCGTCACTCCAGGCGCCCTGGGCTGCTGTCCCGCTCTCGAGGTGTGAGCTGGGCATATGGCTGAGAGCTTCCTCTGAAGAACCAGCCTCTGGAGGAAAGTGCTCTCTGAAAAGTAAGAGTCTTGCCCTCTCAGAGCTTTTACACTGAAGGGCTCCCATCCTCTCAGATGTTCTCTGTAAAGTCCATGTGACTTGTGGTCTGCCATCTTCTCTAGGAAAGGAAGGGTTTGAGGTTCGAGTTCATGGACGCTGTCCTATTTTACTTAAAAGAGGTGATATTCAGTATGTCTTCATCTTAAAATTCCAGACTATTAAATCAGTTGCAGTCTGAAATAAAGATGCGAAGTGGGACAAGTCTTCTGGATTTGGGGGGTAGGGGGGAAAGGAACTGAAAGGAGGCTGTCAGGCTCTGAGCCACCTTAACTGCAGTGAGTTTCAGGCCCTGGAACAGAGGCCTCCGGTCGCTGTGCTCGTTGCGCCAGGGAAGACCGTCTCTGTTCCAGCGCTGTGTTCATCTGTAAGGCGGTGGGAGAAAGTTAGACACAGCCCATCACGCTCCCCCAAGTGAAGGGCAGCCCTGCCCGGCTCACCCCACATGACCTAACGGGGCAGAGGAGAGTGTTTGGGAGAGGCTTGGAGAGACTTGGCACCCTCGCTGCCTCCAGCTTGTGTGTGAAGGTGCCTCTGCCGTCACGGGCCGCCTCGTCTGGCCTCAGGATCCATCGGTCCTGGTCAGCCCTCCCCGGGGCTCTCACGGACCCGTTTCCAGCAGAAATCGTTGGCTTTCCTGACCTTTGGGCTCTGGCAGGTTAGGGTGTCGAGAACCCTCTCCACCACTGGTGCTAATCTGGGTGGGAAATGAGGTTTATTTTAAAGAAGGACTTTCCATGTAATTGATGTCTTTTTAAAAAATATATATATTTTATTGATTTTTTACAGAGAGGAAGGGAGAGGGATAGAGAGTAGAAACATGGATGAGAGAGAAATCAGCTGCCTCCTGCACACCCCCTACTGGGGATGTGCCCACAACCAAGGTACATGCCCTTGACCGGAATCAAACCTGGGATCCTTCAGTCTGCAGTCTGACGCTCTATCCACTGAGCCAAACCGGTTAGGGCTAATTGACCTCTTATTATTGAGTCTTAATAAACTCGGAGAACCAGAGTGTTTTTGCTTAAGTGAAAAGTGCATGTTTTCTATTTCTGTCATTTTGATTTCTTGCCTCCATTCCTTCTGAGGAACTGATGTATAACTCGTTCTCCTCCTGGTTATTGTCTCCTTCGGGTCGCCTGGTGCTGTGTTCACGTTCACACAGGCCTGAGGTGACCTCTAGTGGTGGCAGGCAGGCTTCCGGCACCTTTTAGTGGTGATGGGGGGGCTCCATGCTGAGACGTTTATGCAGGGGCCCCCTGGGTTCCCCCCATCCTTACTGAAGAGTACAGATCATGATTGGGGTGAGGTCCATGTGGCACTGGAGAGCCGGCCACAACAAGGGCTTCGCTCTGTCTCAGGCCCCAATTTCCACGAGAAAGAGCAAGAGGGCTTCTGGGGCTTGATGCAGACTGTTCCCAGCTGGGAGGCGCAGAGCAGGGGCTTGGGGATGAATTGGAAGAGCCTGATGACTGAAATGCTTATTCTTGTTTTATCTTGAAGATTTTGACTTCAGTGTTCCAGGATCCATGAAGCTTCACAACCTCATTTCTAAATTGAAAAAGTGGATCAAAATTCTGGAGGCCAAAACCAAGCAACTTCCAAAATTCTTCCTCATAGAAGAAAAGTGTCGGTTTTTGAGCAATTTCTCCGCGCAGACAGCTGAAGTGGAAATCCCAGGGGAGTTCCTGATGCCAAAGCCGACGCACTATTATATCAAGATCGCTCGGTGAGTGAGCAGGGTCTGGCTCCATCATGGCACCTCCCCCTCCCCTGCAGGCAGGCCTGGTGCCGCGCTCAGAAAACAGTGACCAGCCCTGAACGGGTCTGACTGATGGCTTCAGTATCTTGTTTGAGTAAAGTTTGTATTTGCTTCCAAAGAAGCTTTTCCGACTCCCCGTAGAACTTGACGAAATAAAGGTCCCGTGTCTTTGTTCACACTTACAGCCTGGTGTTCAAACAGCACCAGATGCTTGGAATGCAGGGCAGTGTGTTGCGTCTCCTTAGACACGTAGAGCTGTGTGGAGAGGCTCCCGTAACAAAGAGTCAGGTGCTTCTGTGATTTCTTACTCAGACACAGAGCTCTGCTTTTCCACCGTCAGAGCTCAGTCTTCCTCCCCCAGACCTGCCTGGGCCTGGCCAGCGCCCTCCTCTCTGACCTGTATCGGGGCCGAGGCCCAGGGTGAGGAGGTGAGGGCAGGGGTGTGTCAGTCCCTTGCTTGCTCCTCAGGGCACCTGCGTGTGCCAGGCAGGGCTGGCTCTCCCCCAGAGGCTGGAGCTGGGCCCTCCCCGTGCCGCTGCGGTGCTCAGGGCCAGAGCAGCGACCCACAGCTAGCTCCTGGAGTCGGACCCCTGGTTTGGTTCTTTTGAAGCTCCAGCTTCATCTTTCTGCTTTTGTTTTCCCGCTGCCGTGGCTTCTCCCTGGTTTTGGATATAATTGCACTATTTATACCTTGTCAGAACAAGGGTGGGTGTGAGTGAACAAATGTGGTAACTATGCGTCTTAATTCCCATGACAGTTCTACCGGTGCTTTTGGAAAGCTCCCTTTTCTTTTCCAAGGAAAGGATTGGGAATTGATTCTAAGAACGTTTGTGTGTTCGGTAGGTTTATGCCCAGGGTGGAAATTGTGCAGAAGCACAACACCGCAGCCAGGAGGCTGTACATCCGCGGGCACAACGGCAAGATCTACCCGTACCTGGTCATGAACGACGCCTGCCTGACAGAGTCGCGGAGGGAGGAGCGCGTGCTGCAGCTG